ATTACTTAGTCTTGTTTACAAGTTGGACCATGATTGGTGCACACCCGGATCCCACACCCGAGTGTGCACCCCCCACATAAAAAAAAAAAAGTTAGCCCGGGTGATGGGCATTTTTTTTTTTTGTTTATATGGGGGGTGCACACCCGGGTGTGGGATCTGGGTGTGCACCCATCATTTTCCTTACAAGTTACATCCTAGCAGGATACATCCTCTTTGATGTTCATTAGTCAAATTTAAAGTTTTATTATCTAATTTTCTTCTTTATAGCATTGTAGTTGGCCCCCCTAAGATAAAATCTTTGGTTCTGCCACTAAGTGGATCCCTACTCTTTTTTAAATACTTTTACTAATTTTAATTAATGTTTAATATATTTTTGGGATAGAAAAAGGAAAATAAAAAAAGAGAAAACTATAGCTAAAGTCCTGCCTGATGCAATATAACATAGCATTGACAAATGAAACCTTACACTAGTATAAGTGTTATACTAATTCTCAGCTACTCATTTTAAAATTTTAATAATTAATGAATGCAACACTTTGCAAGCTCCCTAGGATATGGGTCAAAGGGTCTCTTTCCTATGGTGGACTTCCTTGATCTGTGTACCTAGATGGTATAACACACATCCCTTAGGTATTCTTAATCCTATGAGAATTTTGAAAGAAAAACTTTAGAAAATAATGTAGTGGAAGTAAAATTTTTCTAAATTATATAAAATGGTTCCTTGAAGAAAAAAACATGATTGCATGTTATTTTAAAATTATAAATAAAGAAACACAATAGCTTGCAAATAAAAAACCAATTCAATGAAAGGTATCTTAAAGAAAAATATTAAAATACTTAAGGTTGTGAAATAACCAAGGCTAAGCCCCTTTTCATTCATTATATGTTCTGTACATAAATAACATTTTACAAAAATAGACATGAGCAAATGTGTTTCAAAAGCATTCCAAAATGATATAAGTAGAACTATTGTTTGGTAATACATCGATTTGCCTTGATATCAAAGCAGTGAAGTCATAGCTTATACGTATGATGGCATAAGGGACCTATACCAAGAGCTCTCAAGTTTGGCGACTACTATTACAAAATACTAATTTGAAATGAGGGGAATAACATAAACTAAAAGTCTAGTAAATAATGAGTCAAAGTTATAAACTTGGGTCCTAGAACTCATAGATAAAATTACAAGACATAACATACAATTAAACCAAGCCATATAATATCAAAAGTTTATTTTTAAATAATATCTTAAACTTAGGGTGTGTTTGAATTATTGTAAGGTATTGTGGTTATAATTGTGACCTTGGTTGTGCTAAACTGTATTATGTTTCAGTTATGACTAAAAGTTATTTTAGTATTTGATTTTTTATTTTTTAAAAGTATTATGTATGAAATATGATAAATTTTATTAATTATTAATTAAAATTTTAAAAATATTGTATGATGTATAATTATTAAAATAGATAACATTTACTATTTTTTAATAATTTTGGTTTTTTAGGTTTCTTATAATGGGTGTTTTATTGGTGTTGCAGGAGATGAACTCATGAGGAAATGAGTTTTTAATTTTTTATGAAATCTTCAAATAAGCAAGAGGTTAAATTTAAATAAAATACTGTACATCATGATGAAATTGAATTAAACAAAAGTGAGTTTTAATGGATAATTTTACAATTACATTAAATATTAGGTATTGTTCATGAAAGTCATAGTCAAAAAAACTTCAAAATGAAACTTTTGGTTTTATATATGAAATTGGAGTGGATTTACTATGATTTCCTGTAACTTTTGAAAGAAATAATTTGAAAAAAATTGTCAAATATACATAATCCAAAAATACTATTCAACTAAAAAAAAAAAAAAAAAACCCCAAACTACAACCCCAAACTACAATCCCAAACGCACCCTTGGCATGTCACAAGAAAATCCATAAACAATTAAATATGTCAAAGGAAATCTACTGACAATTAATTCCAAGCCATATCGGATTGTTATATGTTCACAAACAAAATATCAAAATTATAATCCATATAACAAAAAAATCACATAATACTATAAAATCCACTAATATGTGCTAGCAAACATATGTACCGAAACCAATCATGACATTTATCCTACTACGAAGAGGTTTACTAACTATTTTAGAGAGTCGACCGAATAGCCTAAACTTTAAGTTTAGGTCTATTTCACATCCACCGTACAAAAATATATTAAACATATTCAAAACATATATAAAATTATGGGAATAAAATACCAAAAGAATATAATTTACTTAAATGAGTGCATACATAATGTAATTCACTTTGAATTCAAAATGCCTAGATCACGGATTCCACCCACAAGAGTGGAAATTGATTTCTTTCTTAAACATTTATAATTAATACTTAAGCATGTAATTAAAAAACATTAGTTCCCATCCAAGGTCAAGGACGTACAGCCCAAGAAAATTCCAAATAAATATATAGAGTTTGCTTAAACATGCTAATCTTCAAGAAAATTATCATACAAAACTTGTACATGAAATATATGGGGAAAAATGGAAATTACATAACAATAAATTTCACGCTAAAACCAAAACCAAGCATGTAAACAAAACTTACTTTTAGACTCTATCCCCAAGGCTCATTCATGTAACCAAAATTTAATGAGCAGTGCTAGGGGCACTCGCTTTTTGCCCTCTCCGGCCAACACTTCGCCTTTCGTTAGGCCACGTAAGCTTCTTTAAAAAGCTTTCATGCGCAACCTCTCAAAAACCAAAATAACGTGGCCCAATAAAAGAGAAAGTATTGGCCGGAGAGTGCAGGAGGCGAGTGCCCCTAGCATTGCTCAAATTTAATATACACTTCTGAAAAAAAAATTTATACCTAAAAAAGTATCATAAATAATAGGTTTAAAATCAAATTTTACTAACTCAAATTAATTTTTATAATTTAAATAATTAATTTATATTTACTCAAAAATTAAACCTAAATTCATAATTAAAACTCATACTTACAAATAAAAGACATAGCACAAAATAGAAGAAAAACAGCAGAAATTAAAGAAAATATCCACTACACAGTCCGTCTCACGCGTTGCAACCTACAGAAGTCTCCGCAGTTGGTTAAAAGAGAAAAGGTGAAAAGAAAATGGGTTGCGGAACAGCCATGGTCTTCTAAAAGGCCTTCTAAGTCAAAATCATACCACTTGGTGAATATTGAGCCACTTGGCACAAGATTAAGATAATAAACTTAGACATCCTCCAAGTTCCTCTAAATTTCACTTAAAACTCCTAAACTCTAAATCTAATCAATTTAATATAATATGAATTTAAAATAAAAGACTCTAATTTATTTATTCACTCAAGTACATGGAGTGTTACATATAGTCCATTGAAAGCAGTTTCTTTGGTGCTTATACTGGGCAGGGGATAGTTTGGGCTTGCTTCTTAAGGCTGCAGTTAGGAATGCCAGTTTCCTCGAGACTTTGGTGATGTGGATTAACATATTGATGCAGCAATCCCACATTGGTCTTTGCATTTACACTTGCCTTTGTTACCCATGCATGCTTTTTGTTTAAAGATTGAGCAATGCAAGCGGAATGGTAGCTATCATGGAAAGAAAGATGTGCAACTCCAGAAGGTTTGAAGAACCTCCATCTTCTGTTTGGATTGCAGTGGTGTAAGGGTAAGTCCAGAGCTTCCCGCTAGAATAGCTACACGGCAGTTATGATGGGCATCCTTGTATCTAGACATATCTCAATCTCCCGGTCCCGAAATAACTGCTTGGAGATACATATCAAATCTCGGATATTTTGCTTAGCTCAATCTCCCGGTCCCGAACTAACTGCCTGGAGATACACATCGGATCCCGGATATCTTGCTTGGCATCTTGATTGGTGTACCGTGTGGATTCTGCATCGAAACATATAAATACCTCTTAAGGGCCACGCCAAAAGGTGATTGAAAAACCAAACCTAAACTCCTTGTTCCTTCGCTTAAAAGGTAGCCCCGATTATTGCTGACTTAAGCATCGGAGTGTCTACCCCGAGATCCATCTCGAGGCTTTGCAGGTCAATCCGGAGTGCAGATACGGACTGAAGAAGGGCTTCCGGTTTGATGCAGTTACAAGTGGATTTACCAGTAGGCTCCAGTTGTAGTGTTTCATGTTCCAATTCTTGTTTCCTTTTGTTTAGTGTCGTTTTCGCAGCCTAAAGACCTATGTGGGATGTATTAGTTTCTTTTATAGTTAATATATGAATATATGTTGGCCAAAAAAAAATTAATAATAATAGAACACTTGAATTTTCAAAGTAGCCCTTTAAATTTTATAATGTATAGCTGTAAATTGATGTAAGAGTTTCTTAAATTTACACTAGTGTAAGTTATTGATCCGTTCTCATCTTTATGTAAGTAGGTACTGGTAAAATTAATCTCACAAACTAAAAGCGTGGTGTTCTGTAAGAGTAGTGTTGCTCTCTCTGCCCTGCTTATGGCTTTTCTTGCTTTATCAACCATTTTTTATTGCCATATTTAGTCGAAGCTGGGGTTTCTTAGTTCTCTGCTATCAAAGGTACATAATTTGCAAAAATCATTAACATAATTCATTCCCTAAACTATTTATAGTGAATATTACCATCTTTTTTTTTTTTTTTTTATGGGACAAATCAAGTGATTCAACTTATGACAAAAGATAGTAAAAAGAGTAAAGAAAGAGATAACACAAGTTCAAACCCTCACCAATAGATAAAAAAGTTTTTTACATTTAGAAATTTGGCTACCTAACCTTAAATACCTTTCTCAATATTACCATCTTTCTTTAGCCAATATAAATGTGCACAGATGCTTACTTTATAATGGAAACATGCAAACATGATGCTACCTCAAATGTAAACCACATGTTGAGAAGCCACAAACTAAATTCTACAGCAAAAATCCAATCATGATGTTAGGTCAAATGTAAACATGTCGAGAAACTAATTCGAATTCAAATAGTTGGAACTAGACTTCTGAATCATACAAGCCTAACCTGAAAATTTTACTAAGATTGAGACAGCAACAATAAAAACAAAGAACAAGAGAAAGAGAAGGCGTGCGGTAGAAGAAATTTTCCAAAACAGTTCTCTTCAAATACTCAGTAAAAAGAAATATGGGATTAACATCAGGAGCAAGAGCGAAATTAGTTCAGCAAAATCTAACACCCACCAATCAAAGACAAAAGTTAAGCACAAACTAAATCCTACAGAAAAAATCCAAGCATGATTCATTAGCCCAACACTAATCTTAATGAATCGAAAATCCAACTTCTGCGTACAAACAACAAATTATTCAACATTACATAGCATTTTGAAATTTGAATCAAAATGGCAGCAATCATGACCTAGTGAAGAATGGTGAAACACAAAATTGATTGCTGAGGGAGGGATCATAATGAATCAAAATCGTTGAGGGTGAAGGTGAGGGATGAGTCGACTAGGAGAAGAAAGGAAGAAATTGAGTTAGGGCCCTCACCGATCTGTCAATAAATTTATGCTTTTAGCTTTTCAGGAATATTTAATCAACAAATAATATATATATATATTTAAAAAAAAAAAGAAAGTATAAATTTCAATTGGGTTGACCTAAGCGGATCGAAGAAAATGGGTTTGAAACAAGTTGCAGGTCAAAATCGCCTTACCCATACCAGTTTATATAATGGGTTCATGGGTCAAGTTGATAAATTGAGTACAATTTTGTCAAGTCTATCTAAAAATGGTGTTTACGAGAATAATTCCGTGAGTCAACACTGGCCCTAAGTGCAACGTGCTGACAAATAAAATAAATCCTTGGACAAGGAATAATTTCAGGTTTACCCATCCAGGGAGAAAAAAATGTGAAATGCAGACCAGCTTCGGGCAAATAGAGAGTTGATAATAAGATTATTTACATAACCATTTAGCCATATCTCACAACAGAGGCCCCTGCATGTTCTTGACGGATTTAGTTTAGACAAAATAACATGCGCACCACTTTAAAACATTATCTTCTTCCTCTCCATCTAGACCTTTTAAGGGTGACTTCCCATTGCTTGCTATGGATTCTTAGACTGTATACTTCCATTTATCCTTGTGATCAGCTAAAGTAAAATTACCACCAAATACACACTGACCGAATTCCAAATTCTCCACCGGGGAATATGTCTCCCTTTTTTTTTTTTTTTTTTTTTGTTGATGAAAATCTCTGCCCTCCTTCCTGCATGACAAGAATAAATAGAAACAAGTTAGGAAAAAATTGAATTCTATTCCTTACATTTCCCTAAAACCAAACAGGCCTTAGTGTGATGCTCAAGGATTTTCTCTCTCTTCAGGTGTGACTAAAATAGCCTACGTCTGGGTGTGACTCCTACAATTTTTCTTTCTCCTTTTTTCTGTTTTCCCTCTTTTCCATATCCAAAACAACCACGTAATCCCTATTTCACTTTTCACAGCCCCTATTTTAGCCTAAACCAGCCTAAAAGCCCTAAAACCCACTACAACTTCAACCCATCACAGCCCCTATCTTTAGTCTAAACCAGCCTTCAAGCCCTAAAACTCACCACACCTTCAACCCATCCAGCATCAGTTAGTCCAATCCTAATAAAACAAGAAAACTAGAATAATAATAATAATAATAATAATAATGATGATGATGATGATAATTACATAACAATCCTAAATAATGTAAATGAATATTCAACTGCTTGATTCATGTTATTCATAACATTCACCGCTCCTATTTTAGGCTAAACTAACCTTAAATCCCTAAAACCCACCACACCTTCAACCTGTACAGTGTCAGATAGGAGAACTAACAATACACTTCAGAATAATAATAACTGCATAACAATCCTAAATAATGTAAATGACTTCAATTGTTGCTTCTTCTTCCTTGTCATTGGAAAGCTATACGCTTAAAATAATGGTAACTACTTACAATCCTAAATAATGTAAAAAACTATCCAATTGCTGCTTCTCATTCCTCTTCAATGTCTGTATCAGTATCCATACCTGAAGGCTTATGCTTCAGCTTGCCCACTGCAGGCACCCCAGATGTAGAATCTTCTTCAATTGAAAAAGGTAGTGCTCACTATTCCCTTGGGATGAATTGACTCTTGCTCCTTCATTCTCATCTGATCCTTTTATAACACCACTACAGCGTCACATGATAAATGAAGTGGGTCATCTGCAATTTTCTTCTATAAATAGTAGGTAGTAGATGAATCTTTAGGCTATTGGTGCTCCATAATTTTGTGATCACTATATCCATTATCCTCTTCTTTCCTGTCTATATTTCCAAAATGTTCATACCTAGGAGCTTTGAGGCTGTTTACCTTATCAGTCTTTTCTTTTTTCATGGATTCAACATGATCATGCAGCCCATTTTCAGAATCACAGCAATTTCTTTTCCCAGCATTAGTTGATTTATTTTGCCCATTCTCCTTTCCCCTTGAATCTTTCTGTTTCTCTCCATTTTCACTAGCCAACTTGGAACCCATGAAGTTCAACAAATCCCTCTTTGCCAACCTAACTTTCCTTCTTAACTGTTCAGTCTTCAACAGTGCTCTCCTGTACCAACAATATGGACAATAAAAATGACCCATTTCATCAAATGTAGGCCTAGTTTCCATGCACACCTCATGTAAACGAATTGGACAGCCATTTTCACTGCAATGTAAAAGTTGACTACCACCTCTCTTGCATAGAATACAAAAGTTTCCACCTAAACAATCCATAACCACACCCCCTTTACTAGGCCCTGAAGAATGGTGTTTCTTCACATGACTATCAACCCCCACAGAATCCAGATTTGCATCTTCAACATTATAATTGCCATTACCAGCATCATGATCAACACCATCATTCTCTTGACCAGAATCAGTGTGGCTTGATGATTCATGATGTTCACCATCTAAATGATATCCTTTAGTAGCTTCGGCCTGTGTCACAGTTTATTGAATTCTCGCCAAATGAGTCACCCCATACATACACTTTAACCGAATATATACAGTAATTTAACACATTTCTAATGCACAAATAGAAAAATGAGATTTTTATAAGAATTACAAAATAAGATTTTGAGACTATTATTATAATAATGTACAAATTTCAACAACAAATAGATTAATTTGGCAAAATTTATCGCAACTAAAAAAAATATAGATCATATTAATAACGATGATGACAAAATAAATCCGCTAAAAGAAAGAAATGCTAAAAAAAAAAAGAAAAAATTCTTCTCCATTGTTAGTTACATTAGCTTCATGAACCAGATTCTCCAGTCGAGCAACAAACAGAAAGTAGAAGGAAGAGTGAATGAGAGAGAGGAGAGGGTACCAAATGCTGATGAATCGGTGAGTTCGAGGAAGGTGGAGGAGCCGCCTTTTTGGAACGCTTAGCCCTCCTAATCGCAATGGTTTTGATTCTCATTCTCTTCGATGTTGTGCTCTACACTTCTCTTTCAATTTGAGGTTTTACGAGAAGACACTAGAAAATCCAATCACTGATTTTCCGATGTCATGAAAGCGCATATTGCAAATGGTGAACTCCTTTTGCCTTCAATTCGAGGGAGCAGGATGTGCATCGGGCTGGACTGGGCTAGTTTTGTTTTGGGCTAAACGGAATGGAGTTAGAAACAGAAAACTAGCAAAAGGATAAAAGTTAAAACCCTATTGTGTCCTTGTACTTTAAAAAAACTCTTTTTTGATCCCTATAGTTAAGAAAACTCCTTTTAGAAATTAAAGCTTATTTCTCCGGTTGTTTAGTCTCTCCATCAGTTAAAATGATGATGTGGTAATATAATCCATTTTTTTTTCTCTTTTTAATAATGAAGTGTAATTCCACGTATGAAATTTTACTGAACTGACAACAAAAAAATGTTTCCAAGTCATCAATGGGTCTACAAAAATGAACTAAATTTACAGAAATACCATAATTATAATAATACGTAGTATTATAAAAGTATAACATAATATGTTATATAATTAATTTTTTATTTAAAAATTTATTTATAATGTTATATATTTATTTAATATGTATTATATTTTATTAAATATTATATAAAATTATAAATTTATAAATATGCATAAATTTATAATATTATGCAGTGGCACTATAATTATGAGAAAAACTCTAAATAAAAAATTGAAGTCTCAAATTTCAACGAATGTCATCCATTTTAATCCTCAATCCCTGTTGTATTTCATTGTATCTCAGTCAATGATCTCCATCGTCATCACCTCCTAACCTCCTCCGATTCCTTGAAAACTTTTCAAACACAATCCCTACTTTTTGGTATAATTATAACATAAAGATTTGTCTAACCTATATCCTAAAATTATAAGTTAAGAGTAATTATTGTTCTTTTTTTACATTAATTATTTCTAAAATATATAACAATTATCATTGATTCAATCACTAGTATCACGTAAACTATTTTAATTAAATACTTACTTAAATAAAAATTAATTTTTATTTTTTTAATAGTAATTAATGAAAAAAGTATAATAATTATACTCTTAACCTATGTCTTAAGGGCATAGGTTAGAAAAATCTTAACATAAAAATTTATTCTTTATTATTTTTCTTTTTTCCATTTTCATCCTCATCTATTTCCAGTCCCTAATATCCCTCCTTATGGTATTAGGCGTGGCAATGGGGCCCCATGGGATTGGGGAATCCCTCCTTGTCCCCATCCCTGCAAATGATTGGGACAGGATCTTCATAGAAATTTTTGATGGGGGGCAATCCCCATTCCCCATTCAAGGATCCTCATTCCCTACCAATTTATATCAAAATATAAATTTTTTTACATAAAATTAACTAATATTCAATTACAATAAATAAAATTATAAAAATGTGAGTACAATTAATTAAAATTCTCATACCAAATTAGTCATTAAAAATAAATTTTGAACTTTTTTCTAGTTAATAGGAATTCTTCCCTTTCATAGTTTCTATAATACTCCAAAATTTAAGCACTTATGTTGAATAATTAATTAATTAATTTGGGTAGGGATGATTAATCAAAAGAAAATTTTTGAGGACCAAGTTGCCTAACTCTTCAACTTTGGGGATGTCAAAAAAAAAAAAAAAAGGAGAGGCAGGGACAAACAAAATAAAGAAGGGAAACCTAATTCCCTTTTCGAGCTTTCTTCTTCTCTTTTTCTAGTGTTTTCCTCTCCTTTTCCATTTGAAATCTAAAACCCTTGAAGCTGTCAACCTCCTAGTGTCTCTACAATGCTTCTTCTTCTTCTTCTAATCAAGATTGCAACTGTTTGTTCTTCTTTTCTTGTCCGTGATTGATTGCTCAATGGGCGTTCCTTTTATAATTTTCTATTATGAAAGACAACCACTATTCATATTCTCATTCTTGATTTTGTTGGGTTAACTCTAATCTTTTATTTTCTTTGATTTTGGGTATAATTTTCCATAGTTTTTCCTCTAATCCTATTGGTTCCATGATTGCGAAATCTAGTGTTCCTTGTTGGGAAATTTAGTAAGTAGCAACAATTTTGAGTTTGATTATCCTTTAGTTTTTATTTTTTGTTTTGTTCTATTTTGTGGCTGCAAATATGCACTGTTATGCTTGGTTAAACCACTGAAAACTTATCATGTGTTTGTCTCATTTTACTTGAAAATTTTGCACAAAACCACCTAGATTTTTAATTACATTAAGTTGCTACTTTCTTTACTTTTCTACCGAAGTTTCACATTGTTTTAACTGTTGTTTTTGCACCAAAAAGTGTGCTCTATGTACCTTGGTTTTTCCTTGGCGTTAGCCTAGATGTTTGATGCAAAATAGTTGTTGATCTAGGTTGTGTAAGATACATTTTGAGTGCTCCAAACTGCTGCTATTCCAAGTGTGACGTATGATGTTTTAGGCTTGTTTCTACCTTGTTTAAGGTGAGTGCAAGGTGCTATATCTTTTTCCCTTATTTGCCTATAAATCTTCATAGTTTTGGTGTTGAAATCTCATTTAGATTGTGCCTTAGCTTCTATCAATTCCTAACTTGAGACACATAGGTGAATTGGTTTAAATTTTGACAGCATGACCTTGTAGTAGTATTATGCCTATAACTCTTTCTATAATTATCAAATTAAGTCAATTCTTGATTTCATGGAAAGTTAACAGATATCCCTACAATTTATCTATTGAACATTTAACCCAATTAAGCTATTATTAAGGTGAAAACTCTGCAACAAGTTTTGGTTCTTGAAAGTAGATGGAACTGGCAGCTCGACCTTACGTTAGTATTCTAACCATAAATTTCTCTGTAGACCATAGATTAAGGTGATTCTTAATCTTATAGAAAGCTAAAACATAGGGCTATAGCTGATTAGTTAACTATTTAGCCCAATTTGGTTGCTTTCTAGGTGCAAATTCAATTGAAAATTTTGGTTCAACATCTAATCAAAACTTGCCTGCAAGTTCTTATTGATTTGGTGTCAAATTTTACAATCTTTGGCTCTATTCTTTGTGTCATGCCCCAAAACTGAGAGCGAAACAGACGCCGTATACTTGTGAGAGAATCCTACAATTGCACAAGGCTCGGAACTTGCTAAATTCATTATTAACAGTTCACATAAACTAAGATCAACATTTCAAAATAAAATCTAGTTTATAAAGAATAATCCACAACTCAAAATCTATGTCCAAAATACAATGGCTAGCCTTCGAGCTCATCACTCCCCTTGGTTTTCCATGTCTCGGGTCTCATTACCTAAAATGGTGAATGAGGAAAAACTCTGTGAGATAACTCAGTAAGTAAAAATATGGATAGCCCTTAATTAAAGTTACGACATGCCAACAAGTGTAATAAAGTATCAAGAAAAACAAGTACAAGTACGAGAATGAAATAGACATCTCCTCTATAGGTCATGGCTAGTGTTTATAAACCTCCAATTAGCGAGCACAAGATTTGTTAGTGTATAATCCCACTAGCAGGATAACAAGTAGAACAAGAATGAACCGGTTCCATAAGTAACATGTCGTCATGTGCTAGCATTTATAAACCTCCCAATAGTGGGCACAAGTATTACATGACGACATTGGAAACTTAAACAGGTAAGAAAGTACATTTCAAGTAAATTCAGATTACATCGCGTGGTACTGACACTTCAGATTACGTGTTGACACAAAATAAGAAACAGAATCTGATTCTCGATGTTTAGCGCATGATGTCGACACCCCGATCATGTGTCGACACTACACCCGTGTCGAGTTTTTGCTCTCCTTTTACAATTTCTTCAATGGTAAAATAGCATATTTGGTTCCTGACTTTTGGATTATGCACAAGTTGATCCTCAAGTCTCTGATCTCTTCAATTTACTTTTAAAAAGTAAGGTTTCTTCCAATTAAATCATTTCTTATACAAAGAATGAAAACCATGTAAAATCAAACAAAATCCTATAAAACTCATCCAAATATCAATAAAATCAAAGTAAAAATTCCCTATTAATATGTATATAAATTTAGCTCATCAAATTCCCCCAAACTTAAGTTTTACTCGTCCTCGAGTAAAATAAAAAAACAAAAGAAACAAAAATAAAATCTAACTCACTTTCGTAGGAATCACGATTGCACTTAGCATGTACAACAAGCCTTTAAACCCCTAGGTCACCCTA